TTATGATGGATAATACTCAGTTTTTGCCCTCATATTACTGCTTTAAATTATACCACAAGAAAATTAATGAGAAAGTAGATTTATGGGTTTCATTTGTTTGTCAATTCGGAAATTAATTGGGTGTTAATTTTAGCTGTCCCTCACTAGAGCAGGACTTGGGGTGTGTGCATTACTTTGCATTCATTGTGGCTAACCTCCCATTTACCGAGGGTCACTAGCTTTGCATACATTAAAATAGCCCTCCGGCTCATTCCCTTGATTACTTTTTGAACTGCCATGCATTAGAAAATTTACGCCTTTCTGTTATAATTATGAAACTTGAGTGTTGGAAGACATTGTCTCCGCGACACCAGCAGCACCGGGTTTGTCCTCCTGCGTGTGGCTCTGGGGTGGTCTTTCTGTGGGATGGATCAGCAGCAGTAGGGCAGCAGGTAGCGCCGTGTGTGAAGGGAACCGCCACCATCTGTAGATGTGATCTCCATGACAGCGCAGGGGCCCCCGTGAATTTAGGGACAGCCCTCCTTGTGGACAGGGGCTCTGCTGCCATCTCCTCCACCAAGCCTACCTGTCCCCACTGGGCCTGCTCCAGGAGCATGGCCAGGAGAAGAAGAGTGATTGACAACCACGTGCGTGTCCGCAGCGGAGTACAGCCTGCTTTGACGCCATGTCCTCCTCCAGGATGCTTCCCCTGGGCTTCCTCTCTGATTGGAGTGGGAGTGACACCCTCTGAGCAGGGCTCTGGGGCTATCTTAGGATCCCAGGCCAGCCCTCCGGACACTCGGCCGAGTGGGAACTTGCCCTCCAAAGTCCTTTGTCTGTTGGGAGTGGCCACACAAACCCTGAGCCCATTTCAAGGGATCCAGTCTTTCACTTGACGAGACCCAGAAGTAAATACATGCTTTATATCTTAATATGGGCAGGCTTGTCTCTCTTTTTTTGCCTGAAAAGATGATGTAGGATTTTGAGTCCTGGTGCCCCATGAGTAATTTGAAAGTCCTCCTCCTAGAACTAAAGCCAACCTGACTCCCACCCGAGTGCCTCTCCAGCCGGCAGATCGCAGAGTCAACTGACGGCCCAGGAGCAGCTACAGTTTTGATATTTCTCAAATAATGAAAATTCACATAGGTGCCCCGTTCCCTTCCTCCTGTGGACTCCTGGTCTCTCCGCCCTGGCTGGCGCTTGTCCTTCCTTCTTTACCCCGGGGGAAGCAGGGTTTTCCCTTTGGGGTCGGGGGGGGGGGGGGGGGGGGGGCGGCGGTCCATGGAGTCACTCATGTTTTCCTAAAAGTGACGTCAGCATCAGCTCCTCTGTTCTCCTCCCTGTAGAAGTAGAAGCATATTTTACAAAACTATGTTTAGTTTAATTTACACATCCTTTCACGAGCCGACCAAGTTCTTTCAGGGCATTTATTCTGCTTCATATAAATAATTGATCAGCCAAGTTAATTTACTTCTGCCTGACTTGGTCAACCTTAATTAACTGCCCTGGAATCAAGACTGAACTTTTTTGTTAGCTTAAAATCTTTCACAAGCATGATAACAAGGTTTTATTTTCCCTAAATTTTCAGCATCAACACTGTAACCAAGGAAATAATCATAATAATAAAGCTCTGCTTTAATTTACTATAAATACCTTGGCCTGGACATCATGAATTTTCCAGAATACTTCCAGAGAGCAGCTCTGTTGCCAATGTCGGTAAATAAGCATGCTCCACTCGGTCCTTATTTTTCTACAAGTCCCTCCAGCACAGAAATTGGCCTTTTGAAAGCAGTAGCTGTGCGGTTTCCAAGCAAGATGTGAAGTGGGCCATTTTGGCTCCCTGGGCTTTGGGAGACCTGTGTTCCTGCAGCGTCAGCCCCTGTGGGCTGGGCCGAGTGGATCATGTGAGGCAGGGCAGCCTGTGTGTCCTGAGAGCCATCAGGCAGGGCAGAGGCAGGCTGGCTTGTTCCTGGAGGAAGGACTCGCTAGAGGGTGTGACGTGGCATTGCCCTTCAAGCGGCTGAGCCCTGGAGGCAGGCACTTGGGGTGTCTGTACAGTGGTTCTGTGGGTTTGTCATGCACCCGGGCGCTTTCCAGGTTACGGGGTAACCCCGAGGGAAGTGCAGGTACAGCCCACTGGGGCCTGGGACAAGCGTCCTGCAAGAAGAGAGGGCACGGCACCCCAAGGTCGAGGAGGGGATGCGACTCCTATCCCCACACTCGACCAGCTGACTGTCTCCATGTAAACCTCCATGAAGAAAGACCCATGTGGCTATTCCGTGAACAGCGCTGGCACTTTGAATCCTAGTATTCGAATGCTTTTCTCTGTCTACCTGCTGCCCTGGTTGATGTCCTTTCTAGAATTTCCTTAGCTTTCTTTTTGCTGATTTAGTCATTCACCACTTTGCAAAAGGACTTTGCCAACGGAACATTGCCATCATTTATTGAAGGGACAAGTTCAAGTCTGAAATGGAGAATATTGTGGCTACAGGTCTCCCTCAATCAGTTGAGCTTTAGTTTTCTTATCTGTAAAATGGGGATGGTGACATTTGCTGGCATTAACTCCCTCCTGTAGACTTGTCAGGAGGTTGAGAAGGACATCAGAGGGCTCTGCAGCCTGTGAAATGTGCTGTAGATAGAATGCCTGATCAGTGTCATGGGACCTTCGATAGAACTATTGGTGGCCCAGACGTTCAGAAATGTTCTGAGACATGAAGGCTCCTCGCTTTTCAAAAATCTGTTTTCTCCTGATTGGTTTGGGAGATTATGGGAAATTTTAAATCTTCCAACCTACATACTACTGCTGGCACTTGACTAATTAAGGACATCCTTAGACCAAAATAATCCTTTCTGCAATTTTGGTCCCCAAGCCTGCGCTCTCACAAGCCCGAATCAGAAGCCAAGCTGCTTGGCTGTGTGCCTGCTCGACTTTACCAGAGGACTTGGCAGTCTCTGGAATGGTGTGGAGCGAAAACAGAACCTTCCCATCAAATTGTGTGTTGGAGATTGTTGCGGCCCCACCAACAGGGTGGAGACAAAAGCTGGCAGGGGTCATGTCCAACACCCTGTGGTCAGTGCTTGAAGGCAGGGTCTTCCAGCATCTCTGTCCCCCAGATGGAAGATCCGGGAGCCCAAGGAAAGCACACAGTTGATGGAAAGGCAACATTGTATCTTTGGGGGGTCCATTCCTGGTATGGGTAGATTGTCCAGAAGGTGGGGGGAAACAGCAGTTTTATTTAGGAACATTTCAATAGGTTTCCTTGCCAAGGATTCTAGACAACTTTTCTAAGTGCCCCCAGCAGGGTGGCACCTTCCCTAGCTTCTTTACAGATAGATGGGTGGTTTGTGGAAGAGAAACTGAAACATTGTGTCTAGTTTCAAAGTTGGTTCCTCTTTTGGAGATGAGCAGGACCCCACTGTGCTGTGATGTACCCCTGCCTGTCTCTTATCTCTGGAGGGCCTACACTGGTGGTGGTGTTTGGAGAGACTCCCTGGGCAGCAGGGACAGGAATGCACTCTCTAAAGAGGCTCTTGGTCCTGGGAAGGCTATCCCAAGGGAGGAGAGAATCAGCTGTTGTCTCTGAGTGAGTTTCCCACCTGTTAATGAAAAAATGCCATTCTTAATCCATTTCAGAATTGGATTAACCTAAAAAAAATGAGTCTTTGGGGTTTGTAAAGTCTGTCTTCAAGTTGACTCATACTTTGCCCTGAAAGGAAATAAATTTGTGATTTTCTTCTTATTCTTCCATTTGGATTCGATGCAAATCTGTAGAAAACAGACTTAAACCAGTTTTTAAGAAAGGGACAACCTCCTCTAACCATGTCCAGCAAGTTTTAATTTCCGTGTTGTCACTTATTTCACATAGAGGGGAGAAATTCGTAGCCCTGGCTGGACCTATGTCCTTCTGTGACTGCAGAAATCTGTGATAAAAGTTGGCCATCCTCCTATCTCGAGTTGGTATTTCACATGGAAGTCTTTGTTATTCGGGCGTTTCTCAGCTTTGATATCTGACCAGTGGACTTCCCTCAGTGATAGTTCTTTTCCTTCCCAAGTCCTGCCCTCTGGAGGTGGAGTGTGACCCTGCCATTTCCATTGTCCTGCCACCCCACCTCGGCCTTAAGAAAACAGGCCTTGCTAAGAGCTGCGGCCTCATAGTGAGCTGGTGAGGGTCCCCACCTCGCTGTCCCGAGCTGTGAAACACAGTTGCACCAATTGCCTCTTGAGGCCTCAGGGCCCTCACCTGCAGAGTGGGGCTGAGGTGGTCAACAGGGCTAAATTCGAGAACCTCCGTCAGTCACTATAGTGGGTAGGGCCTGGCAGGTATGATCTATCTGTGGTCACCTTGCCTGCCTTTATGGTGCCGAGAGCTAACTTGGTCTGTGCCTGGAGAGTATCAGGAATGAAGGAACCTACGAGATCCGGATTCTCCACATCTCCTTAGATCTGAAAGGAAGAAACAATCCCCTGTCCCTAGAACCGGCCCATCTTGCTGGAATGGCCAGTTTGGAAGTGGCTCGTACTCGAGTGCCTGCAAGGAGTGGGAATCCTTAACATGCTTTGGTGTTTGTGAGGTTCCGTAGCCCAGATCCACTCATGGGGCCTCCTGGGTGGGTGTCCTGGTCCGTGATGGGAAGGACAGGACACCATGGCCCCTGCCCACGTTGAGGGGGAGGGTTACAGTTCATTACACTCTAGGACGACAAGGTTTTTGAGGAAAACATCTAGATATAAGCAGAAATTGAAAACTGAATTATACTTATTTTTCGTCAGTATAAAAAGTTATTTGGGACAGGGTTGAAACTCGAGTTAAGACTGATAGTCACAACCTCCTAAGCTCTGAGGACCAGTCCACTAATGAGGGATAAATTGAGTGAAAGAAAATGACAACTGTTTACAGAGTTTGGCAAACATAAAGCAGGGCCTTTTTCTTTGTACAACAACTGTTTTAACAGCTGCTTCTCTCTCTCTCTTTTTTTTTCTTCCCCATCCCCCCCCCCCTTTTTCAAAATCCTTCTATCAGGTTTTTGAGTCATGATGCAAGAATCTGGGACTGAGACAAAAAGTAACGGCTCAGCCATCCAGAATGGGTCCAGCGGCGGCAACCACCTGCTAGAGTGCGGCGGGCTCCGGGAGGGAAGGTCCAACGGGGAGGCACCGGCCACCGAGCTTGGGGCAGCCGACCTGGCCCACGTCCAGCAGCAGCAGGTACTGGCGGGTGCGGGCGGCGGTGCTGTGGTCCCCAGGCCTCTGCACACGTCATCATGCCCCATGTGTTGTGCTCACCTGTCTATGCATGTGTGTAAGCAGCCTCCTGCCAGCCCCGCGCTCCAGGGGTCCTGGTGGCAGGCTCCCGTGGCTGATCTTCATCTCCCAGGGAGTTGACATCTTGGAAGTCCCCTTCTGGGGAGTCTCGTGGGGACTTCAGGTTGAGTGGACCTTGGGCCCTTCCCTCTTAGCCTCCAACCTATCACCCTGACCTGTAGGTGCTTTGAGTGAAGGACCTTTGGAGAAGTGGGTTCCCTGTGCATTAGTTAAAGGATAAAGAAACTTAGTCACAATAACTTTTTAAGAATTAGGCTTAACCTTTATGAAGGAAGAGACAAACTCAGAGTGAGAAATAAAAGAGAGGATTCAGGGAGACAAGGAAAAAGAGAACGTGGATAAATCATTAGAAATACATAGGAAACCAAAGCCCTGGCTAAACAAGGGGCAGAGCTGCCCATGACACAGGAGTCACTGTGGGAAGGGCTTCCTGCTGCCCCTAGGAATTTAGGGCCCTGGGGTGGTGTATACACAGTTTCCTTGTGTACACAGGGCAGGAGGAATACGGATAGATCCTATTGCTGTTTTATCTTATGTCTTCTTGGTGTCCCCCCCCCAAAAAAAAATGCACCACAGCTCAGACACAGCCCTTCCTGCTGGGTCTCTGCAGGCATGAAGCAATACTTGAGAGTCACAGCTGAAATGTGACCAAGACCTGGGTCACCTTAGCAAAGGGCTGACGTCAATTCCAACAGCGATTGCACTTCCTTGAGGACTGGCCGTGGCTTCCCAACTTCTGCTGGACTCGGTCGGGAAGTCCTATTCCTTCTGCTAATAATTAGAGACAGCCCTCCCTTGGCTGGTTTGCTTCTTGGTTCCGGTGCCACTGGCGATCAGCTGCGGGGGATGGGGAGACAGTGACATGTCTTGGGGCCTCCCTGGAAGGGAAAGAGATTGTTGGAGAGCGGTGGAAGAGACGGGCAGACCTTTTCTTTAACCGTTGTCTTGGAACCTGTATCAGAGGGGCAAAGGGCAGCTCTTAGGATAAGCTTTGGTAGCCTCCGGGATGGGTTCCATGTTCCCCTGGCTAAGAGTTATTTTAAAATATAAGGAGCCAGTTGATGGTGAGCCCGTTCCAAGGTGGAGGGACTAGTGGGAGATGGTGCAACCCGTTGGGAAAAGACAACAAAGACAGGGAACTTGAGGTGAATCCTGTGTCAGTCCACAGGCTTCCTGTGAGGGGCTCCCCCTCTTGACCAGCCGCCCCCAGGCTTTGCGCCTGAGCCTCGGGCCTCACGTCAGCTGGACTCTCCAGTGTTGGTGCTGTATTCAATTGGCAGGTTTAAGTGAATGCAAGGTGGGCGAATTGTAGCCTATGAGGTGGTCAGCAACATCCAGCAGTACTAGAAGGGTATTTGTGCCCGTGCACGTTTATATGATGTTCTCAGCTAGTTATGGCCATATGGACGATAAGTAGATGGTGCTTTTAGAGTTTTTTTTTTCCTAAGTCCTTAATAAGATTGGGCTCAAAATGGACTCTTTGTTTTTACTGGTACATTATAATATGACTGTTTTATTATAGAGCTGTTGAGGAAGGGCTGTTGATCCAATGATGAGTATACACCGTTACATTAATTAAATAACTGGGAGATTAATTTCTTTGGGGTTTTTATGCAGGGTGTGACAGTCGTCAGCCTGCCAAAAGCTTGACACCTACAGCGTACCATCAAAACACACTCACACACAGAAAACAGTCTGAGCTGGGCAGTCCAGCCGCAGCTTTTTAGAAAATGATCCGTGGCAAGGCTAGATTCACCCGCCTTCCCTCTGCCACGGCGGGGGCCACTTTTGAAAATTGGTTAGGGGTTTTGATAGGGAGTTCAAGAAATTCATCTCGATTGGACTTTGTACCTCTTTTAAAATATTCTGTGGCAGTTATATTTCTGTTTGCCATTAATTAGTGTGTTCGGGGAAGAAGAAAGCAGTTGGGGCTGTCATGGTGGCTGGAACCCTACCTCTCGTGGCCAGCAGGCCTTGCAGAGCAAAAACCCTGATGGCCGCCTGGCTCGCCCGGGTTTGTGGGAAGGCTCTTCACAGGTTGTTGGTGGAAAGGGAGTCTGAGGCCCACAGGAGGAGAGCCCCCGGGGGTGGGGGAGAGTGCTTCCCAGGACTGCAGCCGTCAGTCAGAGTGCCAAGGATTGTGACAGTCGCAGGGATGTCGGTGGTGTCCGCAGCGTTGGGGCCGCAGGTTTTGACTTGAAGTGAGGACAGCAGCAGTGAGAACATCACAGCCATGCTGAATTCATTACTGCGGTAGTCACACAAAACCACGGATAAAATTTCAATAACTGCGGGCCACAGTTGGGTAAACAGTTGCACTGAAACTTAATTCCTGTTGACTTTCCCCGCTCCCAGCCGGGGGCACATTCTGATGCCGACGTACAGAGACAACAGGGGTTACGGCTTTGATTAATGCAGGACAGTGGAAGAGAATTAGAACTGTGCAATGCGCCAGGCGTCCACGGGACACACAGCTCTGGCTGAAAGGGCCTGCTGTAGAAATGAGTTAATTAGGCCCACGTTAGCACTCGGTGTCTGGGGATTTTCCAGTCCCACCCATGTTATTGACGATAGGGAGCACTGAAAATAAATAAATGCCAACCTGGCCGTGTTTGCTTACTGTCACCAAAGGTGATTTCCAATGAGAGCAAATTCCCTTTGCAGAGAGGATAGCTCTGACAGAGATTCACTATGGAGGAGTGGATTCTCAATGGGGCTCCAAACCGAATTTGTTTAAAAAAAAAAAAAAAAAATCCAGCCAGCTAGTTGACAACATAGAGAAATGGGAGGAATCCCAGGCTTTTCCTTTTCCTCTTGAAAAATAGAGTATCTGGCAACCTTGGGCCACTGTCCCACAAGGGCAGCGATTATTGGGAGATGGATGGCGGCTGAGGCCCCGAGTCCCGGCCCCACCATGCAGGCTGGTTCTCGGAGAGCTCCACTGTGCCCCCCCCCTGAGTGGAGCTGCGGGTTCTGCTGGGGGAGATGCAGCCCTCCCTCGGTAGCCATCAGCCACGCAGCTGCCGCCCCAGTCGGAGCGGACTGCCCTCCTCCAACACCAAACCCAGGACTCTGTGCTGTTTCCACTCTATTTCTATCTGGGCCACGAAACTATTACAAGAGTAGTTTTCCAATCACATAATTTGATAGAGTTTCAGAACATCCTCCTCTAGGCCACGTCCGCCTTTGACTTCCTATTACGCCCATCTCTGTGTCTGTGGAAGTTCTGTATTGGAAATGCCTTGCTCCATTAGGAGGCTCCGCAACAAATACTATTACCCATTACCAAAGTTTTTTTTTTTGTTCCTTTAAGAAAGGGTTTTAAAATGTCCAGAGCAATTTCATAAACCGTGTGGATTAATGCATTTTAAAAGTCTTGAATTTTAGAAAGCAGAATTTTATTTCCATATTGCTGCAAGTGAGAGCTTTTTCAGATAAGCATATTACATAGAGCATAATGTTTAGAAGTTTCTCCATATACAGCATATGCTGTCAGGTCAATTAACAGAATGCATACTAGGAAATGTTTATTCAATAAAAATGAATAGCTGTTAAATAAAACAGCTATTTCTTAACAACACTCCATGTAATGATGGGTGTCTTTTTTTTTTTTTTTTTGATTTTTATTTGTTTATCTCTTTGGTACCACCTGGCAGTTTTATTGTCTGCAAGTCGGTATAGGGAGAGCCTTGGTGCTGTGTTTTTGAGGTGTGGCTATCACTTTATATGAGAAGAGCCAGTTGAGAAGGAGTCTGTGAAAAAGATAAGCTATATTTGGAACTCAGACACGTTATTTAGAGAGTGGGAGTAAATGAAGAGTTGACTTTGCATTGCTTCTTTGACATTTGATTTAAAGCATTGGGTCTTTGGGTCTAAAAGAGGGGAGTGTGTGTTTCAAGTTAACAATGCAAACAAGAGAGAGAACACGTGAGTGGCCAGTAAGAGGAGAGATACAGAGATGAAGAATGTCTTCTGAAAAATTATAAAAGGGAATGAGGAAGATCCATCGTGTTGGATTTTGCCCGTGAACCATTGTAGGATGTAAAATGTCAATCACTACCCCGGACCCTGGGGGCTCTCAGAAGCAGGATGTGCGTTGTGGGATTCAGGTCAAAAGTGTAGTTCTGGGTGTTCCAAGGAGGTTCAGAAACTGTAGGATCAGAGGAGCGTGCCAGGAGCAGCAGAATTACCATGGTCTCTCTGTCCCCGGGGTCTCCTCATCAGCAGAGTCAACCCACCCTGCATCTAGAATATTCAGGAAGACAATTTTGTCTCTTCTGAACATGTGCAGACATTCTTTCTTTTCATCATTCCCTACACAATACAGTATCTCAACTTTTTACTTAACATTTACTTTGGATGAGGTGTTAGTGATCTAGAGATGGTTTAAAGTATCTGGAGGCCCTTGGGGGGAAGGTTCTGTACAAATACCATACGCCATGTGGAATCGGGGAGTTGTGGCTTTTGGGTGTGTGTTGGGGGTCCTGGAACGACGCTTCTGTGGACACTGAGGCATGATGAGCAAAGAGCCCGAATTTCAACAGTTTAAGGGGAGGGTAAAGGTTCTTCTATGTTATAGCACAGATCAATAAATAAGTACAAATTCTTCTCTGCACTTTCAAAACAGCCGCCTGGAGCCCTCCATTAGGATTTGCTAATGGACTCACTGTGGGTAGAGCAGAACAGGGGTGCTGTCCTGCAGGCTTTCAGCTCTTGAACTGTCTCCATGAACAACTGCCTACAAGGGAGCGCTGTTGGCAGTTGGATGGGCAGTAGGCTTGTTGGTGTAAAGCTGCCTTTCCTTCCTATCCTTAGCATGCTCCTTTAGGGACCATATTAGGATGCCAGGGGTCACCCATGCCTGAGTCTTACCTTGCAGAGAG